ATAATATAAAGAACAAAATGTATCCAACTTTTAGATAAACACCATTATTCTCCGTTCGGTTCGTTTTTTGTAAACACAAGGTTAATTGTAAGGGGAATATTTGATCTGTTTATAATGAAAGAGAAAAATAAAAGCAATGCAGTGAAATGTATTTGAGAAACAGAGATATCAATTAAAGTATTAATTCCATAGAATGATATATAGGGATGTAGTGAAAGGTATAAACCGTATACTCTATTCTTTTATTTCGTAGAAATCTCGTAAAGCCTCTGGCTATATATATATTTTTTTCGTATAACCAGAGAGTATACGATAACATTGGACAACAAATAATTACTTAAATTGTGTATCCTTTATGTGTGATGCATTTTATTATCAACTTTGGAGTGCCGAACACGAAAAAAAAAATAATAAAATTTAATGATTACTTACAATTTCCGAGGTAAATTTTAATTTGGTGCAAAATGTAACTTACCGCATTCTTCGTATGGCTGTGTGTTAAATGGGCTGTTTTTATTTTTACTTTTTTCTAGTACTCAACTTCTATAGCTGATATGACACTCGACATCTCTGATTTCATACTGTATATCGGATGCACTACATTTGATGATAAAAGTCAAAATTGCCTCAGAGCAAGATTGTTTTTTTGTCAAATTGGTCGGACATTAAACTCATTTGTTAAAAAAAAAGCCCAATAAAGATAACAGAAAAACTTTTTCAGTTTCTAATTCCTGGATGTTTTTGGATATAAATTCCAAAGGAAGTTTTTGACATTGAATCCAAAAGTTCCTATTCAACGCGATGATTAAAATTTGAACTAATTAACGATTTTAAATATCAAATTCCTGTTCGGTATACAAAACAGTAAGAAAATTTTTTAATATTTTCTCAGATACAACTTGACCAGTGATTTAATATGGCAACGCAACACAAGGACGATTTTCCAAGGAGGAATTTATTCCAAGAGGACTTTCTATAGTAAACAAGCATCTATTCGAGTGTTAGAAGGGTGAATAAAACCCAAAAAACCCCACTTGGATTGAGGCACGAACCCACGACTAATGTTAACTGGTTTTATCCACTCAGTCGTCGGTTGTCCTGTTGACCAGTGTAATCAATCTAACGAATGATTTCTTTTATTCAAATAACCAAATCATTTTTACAAGTGATTGATCGTTTTACTCTTTCTAATATTAATTTTAAATGCATTAAAATATATATGGTAAAGAAATTCTGCTATTTTTACGACTACAGAGCTGGAAATATTTAAAATTACATAATACTGTATTTATAAAGAGACAATATTATTTGTAATAATCATGCAAAGATCGTAATCACTACATTTCGAGATAAATTGAACTAAGAAATGGTCATTACATTTTTGAAACAAATGGAATGAAGTGGATTAACACAAATCAGTATGACTAGACTGGCTTTTATGTCACAATAGTAGGCTTAAATTACAATAGAATAGACCAGGAAGAATGAAGGATGGAGAACCACGTCCTAAACCAAATCAAATTTAATTTAATTTAATTCGGGTTTAGGACATGGTTCTCCATCCTTCACATTTAATTTTAATTACATACACCGTTAAAGTCCACGGTGGCCGAATGGATAACTCTTTCCACCCTGTAAGCACTAAGAATGCCTATTTTTGCATGTCCATCAATGAGTTTGATCATTTAAAGGGTATCCTGCATCCTTCATCACACTGGGTGGTGATTGGTTTGGTTTATTTTTTACTACAATGCCACACATGGGCGATCTGTCGAAAGTGGATTCTTCCCGGGAAGATTTTCAGTGTTAAACTGGTCCCTATTTATGTATTGCAAACGTGAAGAACGTTGGTGAGGCACAAACCCAAGACCAACTATCAGTGTTCAGTGGCTTTATCCACTCGGCCATTGATGGGCACACCTGGGAATATAAAGGATAGACGTATCGGAATCAAATACTCATCAATTTCTGAAGTTTCAGCCCGCATTCGAACCCAAATCTCTCAGAACGGCATGTTAAATAGGGGCCATTTTCCATTAGAAAGTCCTCCTAGGAGATGTCCCCTTTCGGCAGATCGCCCACGTGTTGCTTTGCCGTGTACAAGCAATCCAGACAAAATAGAGATTGTTGAGAAATGGCTGTTATTGGAGGCTCAACTGTATTTCATTGATGTAGATATAAAAATTATCTTTATATCTACATTCATAATATGACGAACAAAATTACTTATTTCGTAGAAGAATGCATTTTTAATAAATACAATATTATTTAAATGCTTTCAACTTCTTTTTATTTTAAATTTTTGTTTTTTAATTAAAAACTGAAATTTTTAAAGGAATAAATTCGATTTTCATAAAAAACAAAAGGCGTGGTGCTAAAGTCAGTTAACAAATACACGTGTTTAAAAATGCATTTCGGTTAACTAATTTTTGGGCCACCCCATCTTTCAGTTTATTGTTTAAAATTTTATTTTATTTTAGATTTTATTTTTGACTAAAATATTTATTATTAACTTATTAGAAATCGTTTAAATGTAACTCACTTATTTAGAAAGGGAGTTTAGTAGAGTAACGAAAGTATCTTAAACACAATGTATGTATGAAGTGAGGAAACAGGTTTGTAAAAAAAATAATTTATTATCTCTCATTAATTTGATACTTTTTCAATCTGCAATTTTGTTTAGTCTCCGGCGTTTTCAGTGTAGGGTGTGACTATATTCTATCATCGAGAAGTGACTCCAAACAGGATCCTCGCAGTTAATTTGTAATCAAGAAGCATACAAAGTTCGTTAACTTTCTTAGAAGAATGAAGCGTTTTTCTTTTATTTATCTTTTACTTATTATCCTTGAAATATTTTGCCATTTATTTTATTATATATTCGAATAAATAAAATTTTATTTCGTATTTTAAATAGAAAAAATAAATTTTACGCAAGCATTTGCTGTATTAAATATAATTGTATAGCAATTTTGGCTTCTTAGATGTAATTTATTCATTAAAAAAATGGGTTAAAGTAGTTATAATATTGATAAATCGGTTTTGATCCGTACATATTATTATAAAAAATTAATTAAAAACTGTTTTTTTTTGTAATTTTTATAACAAGTATAACAGAGGGAAAGTATGGCAACCGGTTAAAAAATGACCCCCCCAAAAACCTATGTATACTCGATAATAAAAAATAATACTTAAATGACATTTATTTTATATTTAGAAATTCTCCAACTCTTCTAGAGTAAAAATGAATTCGAATTGTTAAAACAATATTATTGCTTTATACAGATTAATACACAGTTGTTTTTTATTACCCGGAAGTATTGAAAAACAATTAACGTTTTATTTATAATAAAAAATATAATTATTCTATTTATAAAAGCGGGTTCTATAAATTTCAGAATTGACTCGAAGAGAGTAGTCTATATAAACAATAAAGAAACACGAAGAGAAGCCATATATAGACTTGTAGTTTCTTTTATGTAGAAGTATATCGTGATATAATTTTGCACGAATAGAACTCTATCATGCTTTTTTTTTTGCCATAAAAATAATTTATATTTTGTAAATTTCCTGCAGTCGTAGCGCCCACCGGTGTCCAAGTGTATAGCCTAAAACCACCGAACACTGGTCGTGATTTCGCGCCTGGTCAAAGGGCTGGCCACGTGGAATTTTCCGGGTTTTCTACACACTAGTAACACTTAAGTAAGGGCTATTTTCCTAAAAAAACGACTCTTGTCACATAAATTAAATATACGGAGGAGTAAAAATATTCTATGGTTTCGGCACGGCCTGTAAAATTCATGGAATCACGGTCTGTGAGATTTGACCTCATTCGAATTTCTCTCGTGATTGTTATCGATCTGCGGTCGATAGAAATAAAATAAATTCGCAATAACGATATTATCTTTCATTTGAAGAATAAAATAAATGTACTGAGCTTTTCTTCACACATTTAAATTTTATTGGGCTGAAATTACTAATAAACTAGCAACGAGTTGCCCAACTTTTCCGGCAACATTTAAAATTTTGATAGCGTCATCTGTTATCATATTTTATTTAAAAACTTTTTATATTTTTAACTATTATAAAACGGCAAAAAGCTTAATTTTCAGGGTAGGAATGGGTTGTATAAAAACATTGTAAATGCTAATAACTAGTAAAGTCGTTATTAAGTCCGACCCTTCTGGAGATACACACGACTCCATTATCTCCTCGCCCCCTCGACCTTTAACCACCAAAATTTAATAGCATCAAACCCTCTAACAAACAAACCTCCTTGCCAAATTTCAGAAATTTTCGACCAAAAGCACAGGATTAATTAAGCTTTAAAGTAGGTAACAAAATGTGCCCCGCACACTAAAAACACCCAAATATTTCTGCACTCTGAACGTCTCGAGTCAAAAACGTAAAAATCTTGGGGATCGCAGTAAGTAATTGCTCGTATTATAAATACAATTCTATCATTACGTTCTATTCTGTGTAATGCGGTTCATTACAACATATTTATTGTTTCTTCAGCTTTGCGTACATGCTCAATAAGAGAAACATACGCTTTTTTCTGGCCTTCTTTCCCACAATATGATCTTCAAGCAATAATTCATAACAGATAATTGTGTTGCACGATGTTTGTTCCACCACATTAAAACAATTACAGTATATTTTTCCAAGAAAACGTTGTGGCAAAGCAAGTTTGTAAGTAAATTAAAACATTTTAATCGATTTCTGCTTTGTTTCAGCATTCTAAAATGGTACAATGAAATATAACTTACGTATAGACCTCGACAAAATGAAATATAGAACAATGCAACACGAAGATGTCTTCCGGAAGGATTTTCTACGAGAAAATGGTTCCTCATCTACGTGTTAGACAGATGAAGAAACACAGAAAACTCCACGTGGGCGAGATGCAAACCCGCGATGCTCACGGTGTTCAATGATTCAATCCACTCGGCTGCTACTGGACTTTTTACAAATTAAATTGTGTAAAAATTTAGAGGCAAATATTCATATTAATTATTTATTTGTGACTAATTACATTAACACATTCACGAGAATCCAACTAGTCTTAAATCCGCGCTGTAGTCTTCTGAAGAAATGTCCACTTCTGTATCCTGAAAGTAGTTAAAACTAATGGAGATGTTATTGCTAAACATGTAACTTTGAATTTCTTCTTTATCTCTTGCTGTTAACAAATTACGTCTCGACCATATCCATAACGAATAAAGATGAGGAATCCCATCGATGATGCGATATATCGAATTCCTTGTAATATTCGGACAGTAGGAAATACTAAACCACTTCAAACGCAAAAGATAAGGTATGATCTTAACTATGGTATCATCATTAAGGCTCCTCGTAGACGATATAACAAGGCAATTTAACTTTGGACAATGAGAAAATATGGTAGGAAGGCAATCGTCCCAAGGATCTCCACGCATGTTTTCGATTTTCATAAATTCCAGATTGCCGAAAATTGGCTTGGTCGATTCAATGGATTCTTGATTTCTAAAATGAAGATGGCGAATGGAATAGAGAGAAAACGACGATAAATTTTGGCAAAGCCGTCCTATCGGATATATATTAACATATTTCAAATTGTTTAAACGTAAAACTTTAAGTCGTTGCCCGGATATCTGTAAAAATGTCAGAATTCCTTCTTCGAAAGTTAACTTGCTGTCAGATTTTTTAATACTTATGGACAAACGGCGAAGATTTTCGAAAGGAGGTAAGCTTATTAATTCGGCATCGTCGATGGAAACTTTATAAAGACAAAGAGAATTTAAATTAGGAAGAGAAAGCAATATCTGAGTGACGTCGATTTTCTCTTCACCGGGTGAAAGACATAAATCTATAATTTGCAATCGTTTGCCGAAATTTCTTTGCACGAAATGACATATCATGTTCATGTGAAGGAGTCTTTGCACTTCGATTTTCAACAGTGGCACATATTCTAAGAGAAACGATAACCCACGGGCTGTAATTTCTGTGTGATACACGCTTAAAACTTTTAAATTTTGGCAACGAATTTCATTTTTGTTCTTACAATCGCAGCATAAAGAGCGGATGCCCAAATCTGTTACCGAACAGAACGATATATCTAGAATTTCTAACGAAATGCAAGTTTTTCCAATCCATTCTAAACCAGAATCTTTCAGATTTGTTGCGTGCAAATCTAATTCGACAATATTTGACAAATGACTGATGATTCTATTAAGATTTTCTTCGGTCATTGACCCAAAACCGATATTAAAATAAGTGATACCCTGAAAGAAATAAATTGCAAATGAACCGCGCGTGTATTATCAAATGTAAAAAGTATATTAAGATATAAATTTAATTAAATTTAAAGAGGGATTAAGGCCTCGGCCTACTGTTCTAGGGAATCCGGGAGGACTTTCTATGAGAAACTGGCCCCTATTTAGACGTTAAAAGGGTCCACGTGGCCAGTCGGTTGGCCAGGTGCGAACCCAGTGTTCGGCGGTATTATCACTGGTGGACCAACTCTCATGCCCAGAGAGATGGTTCGTCTAAGATGTGTCGGGCCTCCTCACCCTCACTGCTCGGCCTTTCCAGTCGAACCCACGATAGGCCCGAAGAAAAGTCCTCTTAGAAGCTCACGGAGCCCCAAGTTATATTTTAGTTTCTAACTTTAAAAATGAAACAAAAATCATGATTTATATTATTTATAATTAAGAAATATTACCTTAGAAATTTCTATAAATTTTTCCAAAGGGATGTCATGGTTATAAAACGAGAGACGTATACTTTTGATTCCTTTTCTGAATAAACAACCGAGCACTTGTGAATTCATTTGAGAAGAAACATATCTTAACATAATTTCACATAGACTAGGTGCTGCAATAAACAATTACGTTTATCATTTTATTTGAAAAATTATTCGTAAATAAATTAGTGTCGATTTTATGCACGGGCCCTAGGATCTTGCACTTACAAGTATAAATATAACATCGTCCATACTATCTTTAAATCCAACACTCGAAATTCGGTATTGGCTAGGGCCTATATAGATCTTTTACAGTATAAAATTAGCGTGTGATAAGAGTCTACAATATACAAAAGGGACCTGCTAGTCTACGCTCGTCTAGGGCCTTGCTCAATACAAAAAACCGTCACTGTAAGAAAGTTAAAAAAAAATCTTACGAAATGCC